GGAGCATACAGGCGTGGCTATGTAAGGGTGCGCGTAGTGGTGCTTGTGGGGGATGTACAGGGTGGCGATAGGTAAGGTGTGCGGTGGGGGTGCGTGGGTGGTAATGTACATGGGGTGGGCTATGCTAAGGTGTGCGGCGGCTGGGTGGCCGTGGCGTGGTGCTGCAGGGTGGCTATGTAAGGTGTGCAGGCGGGTGGCGTGGGTGGATGCTGCAGGGTGGCTATGTAAGGTGTGCAGGCGGGTGGCGTGGGTGGATGCTGCAAGAGATATGCGTGCGGGAGAGTAGGCGCGTGCTTACATAGCGAAGTTGGGCGGCATCCAATATGTGTGCTTACAAGGTTAGCAAAACATTTTAAGGAAGAAACGGAATCGCGATTTAATAATTACTTCATAGTTCGGGAGAGTTGGAGCTGGAGCTGGTTCGGGATAGCTGGAGCAGCCTTTAACTGTTTTTTTAAGCCAGCGTGCTGTCAGTGTGAGGCTGGGCGGGTGGACGGGCGGCTGCCCCCTCTCCTCTTCAGTAACTCGGTTGCGGGGGATGATGTTGGCGAATGCTGTAGGGCAGCTATAGCACACGTAGGCTCTCAACCCGCATGCACGCATGCACACACTTACGCTCGCACGCACGCACGCACGCACATCCCGTGTGCCTATATCCATGTAATCCCATTACGCGGGAATGCCTTGCATGTGCAGCGGGCGGTCGCTATATAGAACCCTGCCGCATCCGTGTCAGCGTATTAAGAACTTCATTATGGGGTGCATGTAGCGAATTCGTATATATAGCAGCATAGCGCGTGCCCGCTGTCGTTCCTACACTCGGGAGAGTTCCGTGGTCGTGTTATTTGTGATGAAATTCTATCCCGGTAGGTAGTCGATCATGGCGGGATGAGAGACGCACGCATTGACATGCAAATACGCAGTTTGCGGTGAAAAGCGATGCTTGTGTAGGAAGAGGGTTGTGTGTAACGATAACCAGGCTGAGATATATTAGCAGGCGTGCACGCGAACATTCGTGTATTTCTAATGTGCTACTACTGTACAAGCAAGCTCTTTTCCCCCCTATAGACCAGTGTGTATCAAGCAAGAGCGTATTAAATATGTACATGTATTAAGTATGTACATATATTAAGTATGTACATACTTAATACGCTCTTGTTTATCAATGTTTCTCGGTTCGGGTGTAACGCGTGTGGTACGTGTTATCTCAGATATTGTACTGTAAGTGTAAGAGAGAGACAAGGTAAAGCTGACTAATTCCTACTTGAATCCTACCGGAAAAACGTTAATGTTTTTCTTTAGGCTATGCACTAATTAATTTATCGATTAATTGATTTAACTAATGGATAGAACCCAGTAATTGGCAAAACCGTGGTTGAACATAATTTCGAGTTGGCATTTTCTTTCAGAGAGCATGAGCGTGCATGGTACTCGTTTTTGTAGTTTCACCACTTTTACGAGGTTATAACGTTTACTTCTAGTTTAATTTTTTTATTTACATGGGTTTTACTGTCCCTTACAAAAATTTAAGCAATCCACAAGCGATCGAACACATCGATTGCTTGTCGATTGCTTATCAATCGACAAGCAATCGAGACTGATCCTAAGCAATCGACAAGCAATCGAGACTGATCCTAAGCAAT